AGTTACCACCGATGCTCCTCCACTGGGGAAGGTTGTGCATGCAGGCGGAACTTTATTGACCCTTTTGTTGGTGGTGACAACCAGCTATTGGATTTTGACCTGGCTTTCTCGCTGAGATATTAATGTATCAAATTAATTAAGGTTATTGTTTATCACGCTTTCTTTCAAAGTCTAGTAACTGACTAGTATGTTTGGCTTTAAGCATAAAATTTAATTGAATGAGTTTGGGATTAGTGAGGATTACACAAAATTAGAAGGGCATCATGGAAAAAGGAGGAAGAACCAAAGTTTGAGGAATAAAGAGTCCCTAAATTCTACCAATGCAACTCCCTCAAATTGTAAGTGTACGGCCAATCAACTTTAAATATAATTACTTTTAATATATAATTGATGCATTTTTTTGGCAGATTTATTATTTAATATTCAATTAAATTAAATAATAGATTCTATAAATTTAAATCTTAGTAATTTGTTAATCACAATAGTTGTGATTGTGAGATACAAATTACATATAATTAATCTTAAATCATCCATCGTCGTAAGTAATAACGGGATATGAATATCGTTATTACGGATAGACCATCACGCTTGAAATAAGTAGTTGATCTCACAAGTTAAAGTGCGGTGAAACTTAAATGAACACGTGGAGGTTTTGTTATAGAACAAAACATTAGGGATCCGCTGGGGAGATTCCACATGGATAACTATTTAAGTGTCACTGATTAATCTCTAACATTCGGTAGTGAAATTTGTTCTTCGACTTGAGATCATCATAGTGTTTTATATAAGGGTAGTCGTAATTTGGTGGTATTGCTCTGCAAAGGTTCACTAATATGACATTGTTCGGGTATGTCAAGAATCATATGAAAGTTGTGAATGATCAATAGATGATTCGTCACTCTTAGATAATGAGAAGTTATGACTTACATTTCATTCTGTTAAGTTGATAACAAAATTCTTGACAAAGGTGTACTTATAAGTCGAAAAGGAGTCTTTGACTTACATTGACTTAATTGTGGAATGAAATATATGATCGATAATTGATATTAATACATATCCACACCTCGTAATTGATCGGATTATATTGATGAAATAATTACAGTCTCACGGTAAACGAACAAGTTCAATTTTGTTATACCGCGTGATATTTTCCGTCACATGTATTGCCCTAATACATTATTAGATATTAATTTGGAACGATGATTGTGAATTGATAATAAATTAGAAGGGGTATTTTAATTTATCGATTTTGATTAGATCAAAATAATAATTCACGTCGTTAGACATCATGATCGGGAATCTAATGAGTCACGCGCAAAAGGAGAACCGGAAGAGTGAGATTCGTCAATTAATTAATTAACAAGTGTTGAAAAATTAATTAATTGGGTTGTTTGTTA